AAATAAAGTGTTTCAAAATTAAAAAAAAAAGAAATATAACGTGTAGACTGTGGGCTCCTTTAGGTTAAGCTTGTGGATCATGCCACAGTCATCTTTTAATTCTCAGTAATTATACTGCAGCTGGCACACAGTAGAAACTCAAATAAATGGTGATGTGAAGGAGTGAATGAAGGCTTTTTCTGGCCACTCAGGGCAGGCTCCACTCCCCTCTACATCTCTGCCAGTTTGCAGACGTGAGGTCTGTGTGCTCTTTTCCAGCTTGGCTGCAGTCATATAGAGACTGACACAGAGAAAGCGGGACCTGGAAAGTCAGTCCTTACTCGGCAGAGGCAAGATGTTGTTGGAACATAACAAATCTGAATCACGGCAGGTTTTAACTGCAAATAAGTTCTATCGAGAGACTGGGGATGCACAGCAAGTGAGACCGTTTGCCCTGCACAACTCCATGCCTCCTTTGAAATAGAAACCAGGTGTTAGGCAGCAGGTGGTGAAAGCTATGGTGGGCTATAAACCCTTCTTTAAAAAAAGAGTCCACTCAGTTTCCTTCTGAGCTTGAGGGAAACCCTCATTCTTGGACCTGTCCAGCTAGGTGAGTGAGGAAGTAAAATACCTCCTCTCAATGTGAGATGAATGCCTTTCATTCTAAAGTCTCAGACATCCTTGGGTCAGGGTTTGTGCATGATAAAATTTGGCTTCCTATTGATTAAGGGAAGAGAAAGGAAGGAGCAAGGGGGTTTTATTAAACGCATCTTCAATCCTGTATCCACTTATCCTTTAAAGAATCACACACTGTCGATACATAGAAATAAATCAGAAATATATGGATCAAATATTTCAAAGCTACTAAAGGTATATACCATGTGGATGTAATTTCTTGTTTGAGCCAAACCAATATCCTCTCCCAACATGCTCCAAGCTGATAATTGAAATTCTCTCACTATGGACATATAGTGAGAGAATTTGGGGTTTTTTTTTTAAATTCATTCTTGTTCATTTATTTTGATTTATTTTAATTGATTGATGATTTCAATCTATTCAATAGCATCTAAATGCATGAATACTGCAAAAAAAATAAAATTCAACCAGTTTAAGTTGAAAGCCCTCTTGATTTCTTCTAATTCCTCTGCCTTTCCTGCAGGTGTCACTTCTCACAGGTATTTCAGATTCCTCTAGTTCTTTCTCTGTAGGTTCACAGACACATTAAGCAATAGAAACATGACAAGTATTGGGAAGAGGAATTGGGCCATATCATGTGTTCTATTCTGCCCTTCACTTTTTGTTCTTAATGTGTCTTAGAAATCTTTCTTCACTAAGGAATTTAAGAGGTGACCTGGACCAATGGTTTGTACCTGGGCTCCCCAGGACCCTAGGGATCCTATAGGGGTCCCTCACAGGCTGTCCCAAGGAGCAAGGAGGAGCCAGCAGGGCAGCTCCAGGCTCCTGACCCACCCCTGCCCCAGCCAAGGGGCCTCCCATTCAATCTTCCTTTCTTTGTTGATTTCCATATACATTTTTTAACGGTATTCTTCTTTTTTTAAATGTTCTTTCTTTTTGGTGGGAGGAGGGGTAATTAAGTTTGTTTGTTTGTTTATTTAAGTGGATGTACTGGGGATTGAACCCAGGACTTCATGCATGCTAAGCACACACTCTATCACTGAGATATACCTTCCCTCATCCATATAAATTTTAATTTAAAGTTTTTAAAAATGTGTTGCTTTAAGAAAGGGAGTGAGAAGAATTAATCTAGGTTAATTCTTTTGTCTCTGCCTTCTACTAAAATGTAAATGTTTCTGAACAGATTCAGACAGGCAGTCTCAGATTTCATTGGCTTTTTTTTTTGAAAGCAATTTTAAGGCAAAAGTGGAAAGTAACACTGAATTGCCTCAATTTCCCCAATGTGACCAGTTTTCAAAAGACTAGAGACAGAAAGGATTGGGAAAGGCCAGGGATAGAAGCAGACAGATATCCTGGCCACTTTCTCTCTCCTCCCATGTGTTCATCTTAGGTCTTGTATATTGCTGTGTATGTGTTACTGTGTATACTTTTCATACAACCAGGGTATCACTTCCCATGTGCATCCTGAATCTTCTCTGGGTTTTCTCTAAGCCCTAGATTCTGGACCTTCCTGTACTGCTGCTACAAACCCATATCCCCACAAATGGTCAACATTGTACTCATATCCAGAAGGAATGGGGGGGGAAAAATCTGACGAGACAGGGGTGCTCCAGCCTATGGGAAACTTCCTTCCTGACTCAGGTAACCTGACTCTGAAAAATCTCTGGATCAAACAAAGCATAATAAGGCCCATCACCAAAATGCCAACGTACAAGGGGGTTCTAGAAGTCAAGTCTCCCCTCTCACTGTCAAAGTGCTTGGTTACTTGCAAAGGCAAGCGATAGGAGGACATCTCCCCAGTTGGGAAACCCAAGAACTCCTGAGTTCCTCTAAAGCTCAGTATCCTTATCCGTCTAATGAAGATAATAACTATTAATCTCATTCTAAGGTTGTTGTAAGGAGTAACAAGATGCTTAAATTCTAGCTTAGTGCCTGACACAAACTGTTGTGGGTTCAATTGTGTACTCCCCCCAAAAATGTGTTGAAGTCCCAGTCCCCAGTACCTCAGAATGTGACCTTATTTGGAAACCAGGTCATTGTAGATGTAATTAGTTAGGTTAAGATGAAGTCATCCTGGAGCAGGGTGGACCCTTAATCCAATATGGCTGGTGTCCGTATAAGAAATGGAGAGAAACACACAGGGAGAAGACGGCCGTGTGGCAACAGAGGCAGAGTTGGAAATGGGGTAGCTACAAGCCACAGAACAGCACGGATGGCCAATAAACCACCAGAAGCCAATAAGAGACAAGGTAGATTCTCCCCTACCAGTTTTAGAGGGAGCACAGCCCTGCCAGCACCTTGATTTCAGACTTCCAGACTCCAGAACTAGGAAAGAATAAGTTTCTGTTACTTTAAGCAACCCAGTGTGTGGCTGCACCCCCCCAGGCCTGCAAGCCCTGTACTTGCCCAGCCTCAGGACCTGAGGAGGAGCCCAGAGTCAGCAGCAGAGACATCAATGATACAATGGATAAGGGATCCTACATGTGTAAGATCATACCCCTTGGTATGGCTACTTTCAAAAAAACCCAGAAATTGTAACAGTAAGTGTTAGCAAAGATGTAGAGAAACTGGAACCCTTGTGCACTGTTGGTGGGAATGCAAAATGCATAAAATACAGCCACTATGGAAAACAGTACAGAGGTCCTTCAAAACCTAAAAATGGGATTACCATATGATCCAGCAATCCCACTTCTGGATATATATCCAGAAAAATTGAAAGAAGGATCTCAAAAAGCTATTTGCACACCCAAGTTCATCGCAACATTATTTACAATAGCCAGAAGGTGGAAGCAGCCCTAGTGTCTACTGACAGATGAATGGATAAAGAAAATGTGCTAAATCCATATAATGAAATATTATTCAGCCTTAAAAAAGGACATCCTGTCACATGGACATTATGCTAAGTGAAATGTGCCAGTTACAAAAGGACAAGTACTATATGATTTCAATTATATGAAGTGTCCAAAGTAGTCACGCTCATAGAAACAGAACGCAGAATGGTGGTTGCCAGGGGCTGGGGGGAGGGAGAAGTGGGGAGTGGTTGGCCAATGAAAAAGTTGATGGAAAAGCTCTAGAGCTCTATTGCACAACAATGTGAATATAGTTAGCACTACTGTACTATACATTTTAAAATGGTTAAGATGGTAAATTTTATGCTATGTGCTTTTTACCATATTTAAATACGTGTGTGTGCATGTATATGTGTACATATACATAGATCTATGTTCTGTGAATCCACCATGATTCCTAAACAATACTATTGAATATAATGATTTAAATGAAAATTATTACAGATTTGAGGCTTAATTTTTTAACTTAACAAATAAGAATTTTAATAAATAATATTTAATGTATAGTGATATGTCTTCAAAATATATAAACAAATGTCTTAACACAGTCGATTCTTACAAAAAAACAACTGTGAGAAACTATACATTCTGACCATGTTTCCATCATAGTATTAGCTAATATTCACTGGATGCTTACTCTGTTCCAGGCATTATTCATATTTTTATCTCATTTAATTCTCATGCCTATCCTGTGATACAGGTTTAAAACTGAGGCACTGAGTGTAATAGTGATTTGCCCAGGGTCACACAAGGACTGGACCCAGGCTTTGAACTCAAGCCAACGCAAGCACCTAATCTTGTCCCCCACACTAAGCTGCCTCTGTCATAACCTCTGCCCCTGGTTTTCTCTGCATGGCAGTGTTGACATTGTGATGTGAGCCTGGGTTTAGAGTTATCCATCCACCATCCCCCAGACGAGGGGAGTTGAGAAGGATGATGTGGTCCAGTTACCATTTCATCACGTGCCGTCACAATCCAGTGAACCCTGCATCTGCTGGCCCCCATCTCCTCCTTCTCTCCTGATAGCTCCCCAGTGGGCTTGCCTGTGGGAAATCCTGGCCTTACCTCAGAACTGGGAGAAGGCACACTCACTCAAGGAGGGCATCTGACAAAAATGGGGCTCCTGCTACTTCAGAAGGCAGGGGAAAGTGCACATAAATGAGCGTATTTTCAGATTTGATTTGAACATTCAATTTCATCTGTGTGCAGCATGTGTTTCATTTTTCAGGCAACTGAGTCCTGCAAAACACAAGGTTCCAGAACGCCATTCCTGTTTGTGTAATTCTGTGTGAAATAAGTTCCAGAACTATGTTCCTGCACACAGCCCCCCAAAATAGCAATATGTGTGCATACATATGTATATACATGTCTAAGTACCAGGTAATGCAGCATAAATATGGAAGTGGAATGAGCAAGCACATGTTTAGAAGAGCTGAAAAGAAGCACAGCAGACAGAGCCTGGGTTTTAGGGCCAGACTTCTATTCCGGCTTCATCATTTGCTAGTGAGGGAGCGTGTAGGCAAAGTACTAACACCCAGACAGAGACACACAAAACCCTAAACAGAGCAGCCTCTCTCTGACTACAGGACAATGGTGAGGGTGAGACACAAATCCACCATCAGGATTGCATTCTTCCATCTTTTCTGATCACTTTGCCCTAAGAAAATGTTGCCATTTTTCTAACTACTTTCCAAGATCTTAACCCAAGGGAACCTGACAGTTTTCTCCATCACTCTTCCAACAAATAGCTCAACTAAACAGCTTTCCCTCTCTCCCTGATATGTGGCAGGTTTTTTGTTTGTTTGGTTTTTTGTTTGTTTGTTTGTTTGTTTTGGTTATTCCCCTCCTCTGTCTGAGGGCTTCCTGCAGACCAATAGGAAAACCATCCCAGAGAATCAGTGGAGAGCCTGTTTGCAAAGAAGTACCGCACAGCCCAAGCAAGGGCCCCTTTGAGAAATAGGAAACTGTCAGGAAGGTGGATAGAATGAACCTGATTTCCCATTATTTTTTTCAATAGATGGAGTCCAGTTTGCCTCAGCTATAATCCAGGCATAACATTTATATGAGAACATAAAATACTACACAGCTCTAAGTAAAACAATATGTGTGTTCCTGAATAACAGTGATACCACTTGCCAGTGAGACTATATTTTGACCAAATAAAAGATGACCTAAATTTGACTCAGTGGGATGGGATTTACTACATGATTGCTTCTTGAAAATAAAGGGATAGAGACAGAGGGGATTCCCTGAGGGTAGAAGGAAATGGACAAGGAGAACAACAGAAAAAGAGGATGGAGGGTTATACGATTAGGACTTGACTTGAAAGCTCCAATCATAGAAAGAATAAAGGGCACCTAACTTTAACTGTGTAGTGTGTCCCTCCCAAATAAAACCTTCTTTTATATGAAACATCCATATTGCATACTCCCACATGGGCAGACATCAAACGTATAGAGAAGTGAGTTTTCAACCATAACCATAACGGGAGACAATCATTATAAACACTTCAGTTTACAATGGCTTTTATGCATTCCTCCAATCCTTCCTTCATTCACATGTATGATCACTTAACAAATATGCTTTGTGGTCTTAATATGGAACAGGCTCTCTGCTGCAACAAGACACAGCCCTGCCCTGAGGGAGTTCACAGTCCTGCCAGGAGGGAACCCAGGAATGGGGCCCTTTCAATCCCGTGTGTTAAGGGCCAAGAGAGGAAAAAATCTCAACACAGGGTGCTGTACCAGTGCAGAGACATGTACAAGGGATCTTAAGACCACACACAAGAGGACACTGAATGACCCAGAGGGACCACAGTTGATAACCCTGGACTTGGATTCGTAAAAAGGAAGAGGAGGGAGTAAATCAGAGAAACTGGAAAAGAGCACAGAGCAACTTATCATCCAAATCACAAACAACAACAGGTAAAGCTCCAGGTGCATGGCTCTTACACACATTCTCACATTTGAATAATACACAGACTGTTCCCAGATGTTTTGGTAAGCATATGCATTAGCTGGGACTTAGGTATGGCTGATGTAACAAAGATCTGAAATAAGAGTGGCTGAGGCAGGTAGAAGTTGATTCTTTCCCACAGAACAGTCCAGGCAGGAGAGCAATCCAAAGCTGCCTGGCAGCTCCCAGCTTGATGACAGTCTTTCTGATTTGTGGCTCCACCATCTTTAGGATGTTGTATTCGGCCGTTTGGTCCAAAGTGGGGCACTGCTGCATCTCAGTTCCAGCTGGAGGGATGGGGAAAGGACAGAGGGGAGGACACAACATTCTCCTTTACTGACATCACCCAGCGCTGTGCACATCACTTCTCTCCACACGCCATTGGCCAGAACTTGGTCACATGACCACACCTGGCCACAAGGAAGCTGGAAACAGACTTTATTCAAGGCAGCCATAAACACAACTGTAGATGCATAGTCCAAAGAAGAAAGGGAGATGGATACGAGGCAGAAACTAGCCATCTCTGTCAGCACACATGAGCCCTCCCTCTTCTTCCCATCCAGTTGGAAGCACACAGATTCTAAAGGACTTCCCAGGAAATCACTGGAGAATTTTATACACAACCATATGTGCACACATGCCCAATTATAATATATAGTTAACCGTAAGTTTTTTTTAAACCATAAGTTTTTTATTAAAAAAAAAGAAGAAGAAGATAAAGATTGTAGAACCTTGTATCAGAAGATACTGTAGATTAGACCCAAGACTGTGGCCAAGAGGTTGGGGCAGGCTCTCTCTACAGGGACTCAGGGTGGAGGAATCACGTGAAGAGGTGGATGGAGCCCCCCACCTCCCCCTCTCTTTCTTCCCCTGCAATGTTCTCCCCCTTATTCTCACCTCTTCATTGAACCAGAATATGATAGAACGCATTGCCTGGGTGATAAGAGCATGGATGAGCATGTTAGGATGTGCAGGACATGGTAGAGCCAAAAGTACATCACTGTAAGGATCAAATACACCAATCTACTCCCAGCTCTGATTAATGAGTTAAATAAACTTAAGCAATCAATTTCTTCAGTATCAAAAGAAAATAAAAATACTTGCCCCACCTTCTTCATAGGCTCAGAGAGAGACCGGCAAAATGGAATATATGTATATTCATCTCTATTGCTGTGTAACAAGTCACCACCAACTTAGTGGGTTAAAGCAAACACCCATTTATTATCTCATAGTTTCTGCAGTTCAAAGTCTGAGCACACAGTAACTAGATTCTCCGCTCAGAGTCTCAATGAGCTGAAATCAAGATGTTAACCAGAGTTATGTTCTCATCTAGGGTTCAATCTTTTAAAAAAATACTTTATTTAATTATTTTATTGGGGGTAATTAGGTTTATTTATTTTTAGAGAGGGTCCTAGGGACTGAACCCAGGACCTACTGCATGCTAAGCATGTGCTCTACCACTTGAGCTATACCCTCCCTACCTAGGGTTCAATCCTCTTCCAAGCTCACAGGTTGTTGGCAGAATTCACTTCCTCGTGAGTGTAGGACCGAGGTTGCTGTCTTCCTCCTAGCTGTCAGCCAGGGACCACTGTCAGGTGCTGGGGGCTGTCCACAGTTTCTTGCCATGTGGGCCCCATCAGCCAGAATCAGCCACAGGCATTTCAGAACATGTCGTTTGCTTCCTCCAAGCTAGCCAGATGGAGACTCTCTGACTTCCTCTTCTACAACCAACCAGAGAAAACCTTGCTTTTTGAAAGGGCTTGTATGATTAGGTCAAACCTCCCTGAAAACCTACCTGTCTTAAGGTCAAGTGATTTGACACCTTAGTTATATCTGCAGAATCCCTTTTCTGGAGCACCTACATTTGTGTTTGATCAAATAGCTGTGAGATGGTGTATATACATCAAGGGCCAGAATCTTGGAGGGACGTCTTAGGATGCAATCTTTTGGCCCCCAAAGATTCACACCCTTCCCAAATGCAAAATATGTTCACCCTCTCCCAAGGTTCCCAAGAGTCTCATCCCATTGAAGCACCAGTGTTTTTTGTTTTTTAATAAGCATAGATCTTGTTAATTT